TGGGACCTTCAGGCAGCCCTCGACGTGGTGCAGGGCAGATGGACACTGGTGTCCCTCAAAGGTTCAGCTCCTGTTGGAGCAGCTCCCAGTGAGGAGTTGCCTTCTGCTCATGAGCACAATGACCTTTCTGGGCTGGCCTCACATCGCGGTGCTGACAGTGTCTGCTGAGGAGCCTGAGTCCACCAGTCTCGGGCTGGGTTTGCTGGTCGCATTTTCCTTGCCACCTCTGTCACTCTTGCTGGCTGCCAAGCGTATCAGGTGGTGCCACCGAGTAATTTAAATTATTCCTAGTGAGCCTTGAAATCAGATTGCAACAGACATCTACTTCTCGTCTGGCTGCCCCGGCGCACAGAAACACAGAATTTTCCTCTGCCTTAAAAATCCGAAGGAGGTGCCTTGCCCTGAGCCATCCTGCCCCATCCGGCATGCCCAGCACAGCTCACCCAGCCGCTCGGGTGGCCTACGGAAGGGCAGAACTGGGGCTGTTATGGAGCCGATGTCCCCAGCATGGACCTGGCAGCATGGAGGGCAGCAGGGGCGACGGAGCCGGCGTGGGTCACGGTGGCAGCGCGCGGACTTTGACAGAGGCTTTTAGGCATTTCCGTTAATAGGTTTCAAACAGAACCACCATTAGTCCCTCCACAAAGAGAAAGTCTTCATTATGCAAATTCTCATCTTAAAGCTTTATTCATGTGCTTCCTGGCAGGCTTTCCTTTAATCTCAAGAGCAAGATTGCTTGGAATTACCATATACCCTTGTTAATTGCATTAAAAAAAAAAAAATCAGCAGAGGTTGTTTTTGCCATAATCAAGAGTGATTTTTTGATTAGTACTTCTGGAAATCAAAATGTTTTGCTGGGAATGGAGAATGAGGACAGCAGCGTTGCCTCATCCCCGGAGAGGAGCAGGGGCCATCCCAGCCTGGAGGGCTGTGTCCCACCACCACCTTCAAGCTCTGAGGCTGTCCTTGCCCACCTGGCCCACCAGCGCTGCTCCCAGAGGCTGTCCCAGCTCCGAGGAGCTCTGCTTGCACGTGCAGGACTGTGCTTTGGTCCTAGCAGCCAGCAAGGACCCAAGCTTTGCAAGCAACTTGGCATTCACGAGGAAATTCGCCGTGTGTCTGACGGCCGTGGTGGTGGAGAGCATCAGCGAGTCTGAAGCTGTGCTCTGTGCTGACCAGGATTGCTGCTTTGGCCGGCTTTATTGTGCCGTTGCCTGCTCCACGGGAGGTCCCTGGGGACCCCTGGTGCTGCTGGAGCCTCCCCAGCTTCTGCAGACCAGCCCTGTGCCCACAGACAGGCAGCCATTTGCTCCCCGCAGTCTTTTGGGGCTGTATCCTGTTTCTTGAATAGAAAACATCGCTGTGAGGATGCAGTCTGGCAGCGTGGCGCTGCCCTGCACCCGAAAACCTTTGGTCCCCAGTGCTCTGCTCAGATATGCCAGTACTGCTGTGAGTGCCCTACACAGGGAACCGCCTGCATGTGCCAACACTGTAACTCGGAGCCAAAAAGGCAAGGTTGGTTGCTGGGGAGACCCCAGTGCTTGCGGTTGCCTCGGCACACGCTCTCCTCCGGCTCTCCCACCCGCTGCCCACCACGTCACTCCTCAGGTAGAGGCATAAAAGTTAGGCAGCTTGAATTACTTTCCGCTGCCCTTGTGCCTGCTTTGCATTCTCCCGTAATCTCCCGGGCTGTCAATCTCGTGCCGTCGCGGGCTCTCAATTCCCAGGGAAGCCAAACACGTATATATTGCACAAAGAAAGAGATCTGTGGGCTGGCGCTAAAAATGGAATACACCTCGCTCCGAGCGCCGCAGACGGCCTGGCGATACGCTGGGTGTGAATTATGATACTGTAATTCAAGCTTTGTCAAACAGTGGGGCTTAATTAGAATATATATATAATTGTAAAGACTAAAAAGCTGACGAGTACAATTGCACGTTTGAGCTGCCTGCTACAGGAAATAATGAGGAGAGAATACATTAAGGCACATACCCCTTCTGCCTTCAAAGAGCAGCTAGCTCTGATAAAAAATACCCCCGGCAAGGCGAGGGGACTCGGCGAGAGGCGGGGGAGCCTGCGGCGAGGGCTCGGCCATAACTCTCACCTCTGTTTTACAGCCTCTGCCCGGCACAGCTGCAGCTTTGGGGTCCCCTTGCTTCCCCACTCTGGCATTGGGGGATTTGTGTTAGGAACCGTGAGATGTCCCAGCTTGGTTTCTTTTTATTGCCATATTAAAGAAAAATATGGAAAACACGTCTTGTTTGCCCGTCTTCCCCCCACCGTAGACCTGCAGCACCGCAGGTCTGCTCCTCAGCCGGCCGGCCTGCAGGCCTTGCTTCGCCTCCAGCCGTCCTTGGGGATGTGCGTTTGCTCCCTGTGGCCAGAGACAAGAGTCCTGCCAAGGACCCACTGCAACGGTGGGGAAGAAAATACCCAGGCTCGTCCGGTCATCAACCCTGGTGAAGGTCAGAGGGTGATTTTGCGTTATCAGTGGTGGTATAGTCCCATAGCAGGGTGCAGGCAGTGTGGGTACATCCTACGAGGGAGGTGACACGTTGGGGTGTGCAGGACCTTGACCACTGAGCGTGCATTACAGACACCTCTGCAACTCACCTCTGCTTGTGAGCAGTAGGACCTAGGAACGTGCCCCAGCTCCTCCCGGAGGCTATAAACACTTAATATACAGATATTTACCCTATTCTCTGCTTGGGTTCCCATCAGAGGATGGGCTTTGGGAGCTCTACTCCTCCGGTGGTCACAGAGCAGGACCAGGGCCCCAGGAGCAAAGGCAAAAGCCATGTTTGAAGGTAAACGTGCATACTGGGTGGGTGTTAAGCGTCTGGCTGTGAAGTGCCGGGTTTGTTACCCCTTAATAACCAAATAAAACAATAAGGAGGCAGTTGTTCAGCTCTTTGCTGTTGCAGTGAGCAGGCAAGTTTGCATGGCTTTGACGGCAGCACGCGGTTATTGATCCATAAAAGGTGTAGTACGTCTCTGTAACACCCCTTGCATCAAATAAAGATGTTGTCAGCTTCAATTAACCGGCAATCTATTATTAATCCTTGCCAATGCCTAGGGGATCCCTGGGTTTAAATTGCCCTGGAAAACGATCTGTGTTTGCCACGGGCAGCGGTGGGAAAGCCCTGGGAAATGGGCTGTGTCAAGCACTGCAGCTCCCAGGGAAGGTTTTGCCGGGCGACTCGGTGTATCCACACCTTTCCTAACCTTCATGGGGCTACATGCACACCTCTCCTGGCGTTGGGGTCTCCTGGAACGCAGCTGCAGCCCAGGACACGTTAGGGGATGCTGTTTTACATCAGCCCTGCAAGGATGGAGGGTGCTGAGCACTTTTTGCCCCCCTGGACCCGCTGCTGTGCCAGCTGGCTCTTTGGAGGGAGGATTTGGGACTTTTTTCTTTTCATTTACTTAATCATGGAGAGCAGAGGGAGCAGGGAGAGGGAAGGGACGGCTCCCAGCTAACCAGTGTCAGTCTTGGTGCCACCATCATACCCCTCCTGCCAGCTCGCCCTGCCTGAACTGAAATGAAACGCGATGACAGCACGCTTCCTCTGATGGGGTTTGTGCTTCTCGTCCTGCCAGAGACACATCATGGTTTTCCCCTTCCACCTTTTTTAAACATAGAGCCCCTCTGGTTCCTGAAAATCCAGTAAAGGCTGGGGAAAAAGCCGTGCCGGGAAAGGGAACCTGCACAAAATTACCAGAGTTGCAAGCGTGGGACACTTGGCCACTGCAGTAACGAGCTTGTTCCTCGGGGTCTCAGCCAGGAGGGTTCGGCAGCTCCCCAAGCCGGTGGCTGTGTTCGCGGTGCTGTGGATGGTCTTGCACAGTCCTTACTTTGCTCCTTTGCACCAACAAATTCAGGTTTGCTGAGTGCACGTTTAAACGGACAGCAAACAAAATGAGATGTGATGTGGGAGTGAGTGGAACCGGGCTGGAGGTGGTGTAGTACTCAGTGACCGCTCTCCATAGAAGTTTTTCGCCAACATTCCGATACCCGCTTTCTGATGGACTGGTGCCTTCCTGTTGTTATTGTCCATGTCAGTAAAGCTTTAAATTTATTCATGAAGCACACTGGAGCTCAGGTGGCAATAGCTAGATCCATTTAGCAGTAGGAATAAGAGGAAAGCCATTTTAATGCTCTCTTGCAGTGCTGCAGTACTTAGCAAACCCAAAGGATATTAATTACTCAGCATGCTCTGAGATGTAAAAGCATGAATTTATCAAGACAAATACATTCAGAACTAGGGTAAGTCAACAGTAATTAACGCAGCGCAGAAAAAAAAGGCGGCAGAGAAAGGAAGGATTAGCTGGCCCTATCGCAGCAGAACATGGCATAGCATGGAGTTATCCCCGGGCTATTATAAAGTGACTGGAGTTGTGGTGAGGCATCTCTAACAAAAAAATCTGCCTGTGCCTGTCAGGTGTATCCCTGGGATGGGGGTTTGGTCCTGGTTTGCATTACCAAGGCAGAATGATGCAGGCAGTCTCTGAAATGCTAAGTTGTGCTTGGCAGCCGGCAGCAGCACTTTCATATGGAGCCTTTGATGTCGGAAGGCTCTTGTGAAGAAGAGGTGCATAGGGCTTTTTTGTTTTCCACTGAATTTGTCTGCACTGTCCCAATGTTTTCACAGTGTTTAGCAAACGTATAATCATGAGCACAGGCGCAGATGAGTGTCAGCTCGAGAGATGAATTGGTAGGTTCTCCTTGACAAATTTAAGCATAGCGTGTGTTTTTATACCACATCCATTAGGGCAGACAAATGGAAAATCCAGAGATGACTGCTCTGCAATTTAACAGTCACAGCATTCGGAGAAGGCTGATGTCTTCCTCATCACTGGTGATGGGTCAGGTTCAGAAAAAAGCAGAAAGCCCTCTAAAAACTACAGCAATTTGAGCAAACGAGTCTAACTGGGCTGTATTAAAAGGCGGATTACTTTGTGTGGAGCAAGTACAACCAGTGCTGATTCTTTGTCTCCAGGTCATGGGGACGACCTAGGTGACTTCAACCTAGAAGATGCCCTGGGTGACCTCAGCACCAAGCGACGTAAGTCACATTCATTTATTCTTTTCAAGATGTTAATAGATGCAATTTGGTCTTGAGATCTGGTGCCGGTGGGAGGGCAGTGGAGGACCTGGGCTACCTCCTCGCCTTTGCCTGGGGAGATGCCATGTCTGGGCTTGCCAACAGGCGGGACTGGGGCTGGTCCTGGAGAAGCTGGTTGCTGACCTCGTGCCCTTTGCTTTATGATTCCTGCATTAGCAACACCTACGATCGAACACAGCCCTGTTTGCCTTGGAGCTAACATGTTAACCACTCTCCTTCTCTGACCAGTGCGGCCTACCCATCCTGCTCTGGTCCTGCTGCAACCCAGGGCTTGGGGAGAGCAAACAGCGTGTTGGGTTGTTGCTTTGCTTCGCTTAATTTCAAGTGTCAGCGAAAGCTTATTTCTGAAGGGGGTCACTTGCTGCCGGCATGCTGATATTTAATATTTGGATTTGAAGTATGTAATTTTTATGGAAGTTGGGGTTGGGCTGTGTTGCTGAGGGAACAGCGGTGCCTGGCAGAGCTCGGCCTTGGGCCTGGCAGGAACAGCGGCAAGGTCAGGGGATGGCCAGGGGATTGCACTGCCCTGTGGGGAGGAAATTCAGCAAAGCAGCTCATATTTTACACCCAGAAGGGGTAACCTAACCCAGCGCAGCAGCTGATGGGAGGAAGCTTATCTCCCTCCCAGGGGCACGTCCCACACCACCCCCAGCGCTGAGGGCTGAGCCCAAGCTGGGTCTGTACCAGGACACATCACCGGCCCCCCTGCACCGTCTGGCTGCAAACGCCCATGCCCAGGGCCCCTCGCTGCCCATCCCTCCCTGTGGGGTTCATGGTGACTGTCCCCAAACCCAGCACCTGGCTGGGCAGTAGTGGGGAGCTCTGCGAGCGATGTAATCACACAAGCACACCTGCAGGCATTTAAGTGAAAGCTTAGTTTATAATCTAACACCACACACTCATGCTGAGTTGCATTGGAGTTTATGTGGAATAAGGACTCGGAATGCTTTGTGCATCTCTCCCGCGGTGTGCTGGGATCAGCAGATAGGATAGACCGTGGAATATCAGACTGGGACATGGGTCTGAGGGATCTCATCTAGGTTTTCACAAGCCCCTTCATACAGTGCATGGGGAGGCCTCGTTAGAAACGCCCAACGGCCACCCCATGCAGAGGGAAAGGAGTGTTTCCCCAGGCCGGTCCCTGCAGCTTCCCCGGCTGCTGCATCCCACTCCAGACTTCTTCATATTAGCCCCAGGATAAAAGCAAAGGAAGGGTCTGGAGTCAGGTCATATCAGACAGTACTGGCACGCTGGAAATGAAGCCCTGCAGAAGCACTCTGGTATTCAGAGGCGCAAATGGAAATTAATGGGAATGGAGCAGCCACAACTCTTGCTCATAATTTATTGATATACTTGGTAATGCTAGCCACTATTAATAGACAGTGGCTTACTGAGGGCGAAAAAAATAACTAACCAAACCCCACAAAGGCTGACAGGAGTGGCTGGGGGAGCTGAGCATTGGTGTGTCACCAAAATTCCTCCAGCTGACGGGGAACCTCACACACATAACATAGCTCTGGAAATGATCTGTCATTTAACTAACCGACCAGGCAGGGGACAACAAAACACTGGCAGCTTACTCTTATTTTCCACACTGTTCTGTACAGTATCTGCCCTTGCTCTGTTTGCTGCTGCTGCTGCTGCTGCCAGGAGTCTTAATTTGGAGCAGTTCACTACAGCTCTCTGCTTTCCGCGTGGCAGGACGCCAGTCTGCACAGAGGCAGCGTCCGGCCCCTGGCACGGCTAGTGATGCCCATGACTAACGTTTTCCTCACTGCCTCTTTTGTCACAGCCACTCCCAAGGGACCCAGAAAGCCGTCGGGTGGAGCAGGTGAGACCTCGCGTGCCGATCGTTTAAGCACAGCACAGGGTTTGCTCCCCTTGGGGGTCTGAACCGCGCCATCCCCCTCACCCCTGTGCATGTGGTGGGTGCTGCTGCCTCAGCTGAAGCTTTGGTGTGGACACCTCTACTTGTCCCTAAAAAAGCCAGTGCTGGTGTGCACATATGCACTCCTCCTGTATGGCTGAGGTGTATGCAGCATTGATGTTTCTGCCTGTGCTGAAGGTGAGTGGTGTTGGAGCATTTACAACTAGGGCTGGATCACAGAATCACAGAATCCCAGAATCCCAGAGCGTTAGGGATTGGAAGGGACCTCCAAAGCTCACCCAGTCCAATCCCCCTGCCGGAGCAGGAACACCCAGATGAGGTTACACAGGAAGGCGTCCAGGCGGGTTTTGAATGTCTGCAGAGAAGGAGACTCCACAACCTCTCTGGGCAGCCTGGGCCAGGGCTCTGTCACCCTCACTGAGAAGAAGTTTCTTCTCAAATTGAAGTGGAACCTCCTGTGTTCCAGCTTGTGTCCATGACCCCTTGTCCTATCATTGTTTGTCACCGAGAATTTTGCACACTTTGCAGGACCCTATTGGAAAAAACACAAATCACTGCTCAGCTACGCAGGGGCTTTTGTTTCTGGCTGCTAGCATTCCCTCCAAGAGGGAGCCTAGAGGATATTTTCCTTCCTTTTTTCTTCTCTCAAAGATACCCCCAACCTCCACAGAAAGGCCCAGCCTGGTGACGTTTCCCCATGCAGGGAAAAATGTCTCTCTCACTATTTGTGCCTGTCAGATGCCCTGGCTGGCCAGCTCTACAACATCTGCCCCGGTTGAGGAAGCTCCCTTAAATTCACTTGAGTTTCATAGTCGCCGGCTGCTCTGGCCAAACATATCTACTTAAATATAGCACTGTCACAAGAACCAAGGGTTGCTCAACCCCGCCAGAGGAGCCTGAAATAAACTGCAGCAGGGGAGTGCTCAGAAGTGAACTCACATCTCCCTGCATGAGGATCTTGGCACAAATTTAAGCAAATTCAAATGTCCGGCTCCTTGGCCACTGTGGCCTTTACATGGCACAAGAAAAGCCAAGTGCAAGAAGCACACATAGGATTTCGTCATTTGGGTTGCAGCCCGAGTGAGAGGTCGTTTGATCCAATAAACTCTCCCCCAGAAATGGATGCACACCAAGGCCAAGGCTTTGTCTCGGTGAGTTTCTTCTTCCCCAGGGAGTGCTTTTTGGGATGAGTGATAGCACCGAGGGGCTCCTGCACCGGGTTCCCATGCCCTGGCCACATCCCCTCTGCTCAGCCCAGGGTCACTCATGGGTGGCTGTGCAGGGAGCAGAGCAGGACCCTGCAGCACTTCCTCATCTGCAGCCCCCACCTCTTGGGAGATGCCGCAGGACACTGGCAAGTCTTCCCCAAAATGCATTATTTTGGGGTTGCTTGGACTGGGGGTGGGCAGCAGCCACAGCTTGGATGGGGAGAGTTAAGTGATGGCCAGGCTGATGCAGGCTTTGCAGCATGGTTGTGATGCAGCAGCTGGGTGCCCCACACTTAACACAGGCACCAGTGGCCTCCAGCAGTGGTGCAACACCGCTTGGCGCTGGGAACGTGCACCGAAAGCCTCGCACCGTCCCTACAAATGATGGGGATTTTAACAATGCTTTCTCTCCCACAACAGACTTTGATTTGCTTGATTACTTTGACACCCCTCCGGAGGCTACCACCAAACCCGCCAAGCCAACTCCAAAGCCCGTCCCCAGGCCAGGGAAGCCAGGTACTGCAGAGCTCCTTGCGCCCTGGAGAGGGTGTGTGTGTGTGTGTGTGTGTGTGTGTGTGTGTGTGTGTGTGTGTGTGTGTGTGTGTGCGTGCGCTCGCTTTCGGGGCTCTAGGCAGGGGAAAATGCTATCCGAGGTAACCAGGAGCTATCCCAGCAGCTGGGAGTCTGGGATCAGGTGTTGACAGATGAGCTCCAGCAAGTTTTGGTGACCACCAACAGGTCAAGGGGACCACTTCCTCCTCCTCCAGCAGAGGAGATGCTCCAGGCTCTCGCTGATGTGCCAGGGCGGTCAGCAGCAGCATTTCGCCATCCTCCCTCCCTTGATGCCCACACAGGGGGCTTTGCCAAGCAGCATTTGTAAAAGGTTTTCAGGAGAATGGAGCTGTTAGCTGTTGTTAGGTGGGAGATTTCATTGCCAAAGCAGCACATCCTTGAGTATCATTTTGGTGGTCCTGCTCCCGGGTGCCATGGGTAGGCACACCCAGGGCTTGAGCACCCCCAGGCCACCAACGGGGGCAGTGTCCCCAGTGTGAGGGGCAGCTGAGGCTGTGGAGGGACCAGAGCACTGAACTGCCCCAGCGCAGCCCCAGGCTCCCTGCGGGGATGGGGTTCCCCTCCCAGCGCACGTTTGAGAGGGTAACACCACACTGGTCTCTGTTTTTTACCTCCCTTCAGACAACAGCATTTGGGATGTCATCCGCACCACCACAACCAGGCAGCCGAAAACTACGAGGGCCCCCCCCAAGCGTAACCCAGGTGAGCGTGAGCTCCTCAGCCCCTGCGGCTTCACTCCAGCTCTGCTGCGGGTGCAGGCAGGGCCTTCGGGATGTGCTGTGACAGCGGCGCTGCCCCTCACCCCGGTTATTCCCCTCCTCTGGTCAGTTTTGTGCACACGAGACACTTAGGAAAATAACATTAAATAAAACCCCACACGATGGACAGGGTATCTCAGCATTGCCCTGCACTTCCCCACAGCAGCCTCCTTTCCCCCCCTGGCACTGCCGCTGGCTGGGCCCTCGGGAGCGCCTGTTCTGTCTGGCTTCATTTATCCGATTGCCTGGCACTTGAACCACGGTGTGAGACCCTTTCTGTGGGAAGAACACTACGTTTCTCACCACAACAGCATGGGGACATGAAACAGGATGGGCTTGGAAGATCTGCCACGATGCTACATAGCAAAACTGGGAGATACTCGTGTTGGGGCCTTCATCTCTTTCACTGACACTTTGCCCTGGCAAAGCTGAGCATTTCCTCAATTAATTAAAGAATTGCAGAGTTCCCCATCCCGTGGCCAGCACTGCTAACCCCGTGTTGCTTTTTTTAGCAAAGAATCCTATGGATTTTGACTTGGCTGATGCCCTCGATGATAAGAATGATAGGAAAGATGCTGGGAGGCCGGACGTAAGGCCAGGTGAAGGTACGCTGATTTCCCCTCTCCATCCCGCTTGCCACCAGCTGCATTGTCCCCAAGGACCTGCAGGAGAGCCTTGGAGAAACACAGGCTCTGCTTGGTCCAAGGCTGCACCTCACTGCCCTGCTCACACGGGGTGTTTTTGGGGAGGGAAGGAGCCCCCAGCTCAGTGGTCCTTGGCAGAGAGGGACTCTGCCTCGTGGCCTGCTGCCTGTCTGCAGGTTTGTTTCCCAGGGTCTCTTCTGGCCCATTAAATTGCGGTGATTGTTTTAAGTTCCCCCTCATCCCCATACCTGACAGCTATTTAACCGAGGGCACGTGCTATTGGGGTTCACAGTCATTGCCAAGACATAAATCTAGAGCAGGCTTAAAAGTCCTGGCATAACACTCGCTATGGACTGGGAGATTTTTTTATTTTCCATTTCCAAAATACTCTGGTGAATGAATAATTTGTCTACGAGGATTGCTCCCTTGAGCACTTGAGCTGGAAAACAGACTTTGCATGGCTAGTTTATTGATGTCGAGATGGCCATATTCCCTGCTCACACGTGTAATTAATAGTCAGATATTTTATTAATTGTATTAACTAGGTGACTTGTCTGCACTTTGATATCCTGGGCTCCTGCAGAAAAGACTGAAGTGTCACAAAGCGGCACGCGTGTTCCCTGCACTGCTGCACGCTGGGCTGCCCAGGACGTCTCCTGGTTCTGGCATCATCAGGGTTTTGTTTTCTTTTTACACTCATTGCTAAGCCCATACATCTGTTCTTTGTGGTAAGCTGGTAAATAAGGCAAGTCTCTTCCAGGCTGTTCAGGCACAGGTACCCTTCCCAAGGCACAGCATCAGAGGAGGAGCCTGTTGCTGGCTCGGTGTTGGGTCTCTTCTGCCATCATGTCCTTTGCTGCACGCTGAGGCTCCCTCTGGGTCCAAACTGAGGGGTTCCACAGCCCCACTCATTGAGCTGCTGATTCCCAGACCGTGTTTCTCTGTGCCTATCCTGCACCAATTAAACACTCCCTCTGCAACCACATCTGAGAGAAGTTTTTCACCTGTACCGAGTTGTGCTGGGGCTCAGTTCTCCCTCTGAGAGCTGCTCTGTCCCCCTGGGAAGGAGAGGGGACAGCTCCCAGCCTGCTGGACCCTGGGCCAGGCTGGCACTGCCAGGGGCTCACGGGAGGCAGGGCAAGGGCACGCCAGTCCCTGGCAGCACAACCACCACACACTCAAACCGCTTCTTCCTCCCTCCACCGCCAGCCAAGGCTGAGCAGCCAGGACATTTACTGAACTCGTAAATACATCAGTCATTTCAGTTAGAAAAAAAAGAATATAGTAGTATTTGAACTGTGATTCAGGGGTATTTCTTTCAAGCTAGACTTAAGCAAATTGTTACCTTTTTAATGAGCTTGAAATAATTCCGGTTGAAGCATTTAGTTAGCATCTGGTAATTGCGAGAGCAGCAGAACTGCTTACTGACCAGTCCCTGTTCTCACTGGGCACAGAGTAGTTGGCTGACTGGGAGCTGCTGGTTCAGATGGGCTTGCAGACCCCTGCTCCTGGCCCTGCTGCACAGAAAACCCCACACGGCTCTTCACAATAGCCAGAGAGTTTTAGAGAAAATGCTCAGATGAACAGAGCAGCCTCTGTCTGCCCGGCAGAGAAACATTTCCCCAGGAACAGGGATTTGCAGGAGGCTGATCCCACCCCAGGTGTGTGATGCTCACAGGTGACCTCCCCCCAGCATCCCCCTGATGTCCCATTTCCAGGCCCTGCCCATCGCAAGGCTTTTGGGATCCCTCTCATCCCAAGCAAGCCATACACTATTTTTCCTCCCTGTTACGCTGTTTTCTAGGCAGCACTGCCATTTGTCCCTGTTCTTTCTAAAGAATTTTCAGATGACGACCTGGCCAGCATCGTGGACGGTGGCTACAGCCCAGACAAGAAGAAGGGTAAGCGGTGACCCACGTACGTTGGTTTGTTTTAGCAGTCACATCTCAGGCAATGACCACTGTATTGGCCCTAACTCCTAGAAACCACCTCGTGTAGAGCGGCACTTGCCTGCTTAATGGGGGCGAGCGTGCAGAGAAAGGGGGTCTCGGCTGTGGGGCCAGGGGAACGCGTGGTTTTTTGGCCTCCATGGTCACACCTTGTGCTAGCGGTTGGAGATGTTTATTTTTGATCCTGCGGAGGCTCAGCAGCTCCAGCTGCCACCAGGACAGACGGGACCTGTGTCTCCCCATCCACCTCCGAAGCAGATGCCCACCCTCCTCCCAGGAGAGGGCACAGGCCTTCATTTGCCTTCCACCATGCAGCCACCGGTGGCTGAAACAAGAAAGAAAACCAGCAGCTATCGGATAAGCCTGTGCATTCGCAGGGATCCGCAGCATTAAATATTAAAAGCAGTCGAGTAAAGAGATGAACACCACAAGCCCAATCAACATTTAATGAATCCCTGTGCCAAGGACAAGCCGCATCAGAGGCATTAATACAATGCTGACCTGCTTCCATAAATTCAGGATGTCAGTGGCTCGGTAAGGATTGCAGCTTCCAGCAGGAGCAGCATCTCCCGGCCCAGTTTCTCCAGAGAAGGCGATTTTAAAATCAACTTCAGGCCAAGCAAAGGTTCCCTGACATGAGGGCCCCGCCAAGCTCCCCCCAGGCGTGCACAGACCCCTTCAGACCCCTCTGAGAAACAACAAGGAGCTGCCCTGGCCAGGCAGAGGAGTGGGGGCATACGCTCAGCCCCAGCCCAGGGGTGCCCCACCGCTGTCCCTCCCCTACAGGCCCACTCCTTCCTGGGGCGCGAGGCTGCTGATGGGCTCTTGTGTCTCTTGCAGGTGGCGGGGGCAGCAGCGACAGCGACTACGGTGGAAGTAGGTGCCAGCACGGCTGCGGGGTCAGCCATGGGGTGGTGGGGGTGGAACACGATGGGTGCTGTGTGTGTCCCTGCACCACAGCACTCTCTGTGCACCACAGGCAGCGGGGCGGAGACGGGGACAATCGCCGGCATCGCCAGTGGCCTAGCCATGGCGCTCATCGGGGCTGTCTCCAGCTACATCTCCTACCAGCAGAAGAAGTTCTGCTTCAGCATCCAGCGTAAGTTGTATTTATCCCTCCATAAGCGCCTCGCGGACACAGAACAAGCAGCCACCTATTTACACCTGGAGACAGGAGGGGGTATCAGGCATCCAGCAGCCCAGAACTGGCAGAGTGAAGCCCCAACCATGGGTTATTGAGCCCCCAACCATGGGTTATTGAGCCCCCAACCATGGGTTATTGAGCCCAGGCCCACCCCACCCCATCAACACAACAGCCCTCAGACCTGCTGTAAGCCACCCCAGAGGCTGCTTGCAGCCCCTCACACGCACCCACAAACAGCCAAAGGCCAAGGCACCAACACTGAACAGGGTAAATACAGAAGAAAACACTCCACCTCAAAACAAACCAACCATAAAAACCACCCCAGAATCTCAGCAAGAGGTAAAAACTCACCAGGCAGCAGTGAAAGCAGCACAGCATCCACAGCTACACTGGAGTGGAGTGGGGTGAGATGTACCACCCCAGCCTCCTGCAGCTGTGCAGCAATCACTGCAGTTAAGTGCAAATTAAGCAGCAAAGCTTCCCATTCCCTGAAAGGGTTTTTTTTGCATGAGCTGCCCCATGAAGTTGCTCAGTGTCAGTGTTGCAGGTGCCCCCACAGCCTTGCCCCACAGCAGCGGCCTGGTCGTGGTGGGCTCCTGCAGCAGAGGGTGGTTGAAAACAGCTGGAAAAAACTCTTTTTAAATTAATCAGATGAAATCTCCTGCAAGTCTCTTTTGCTCTGGGGGAGTGGTGTTCAGGGTCGGAAATGTCTGCTGGAATTGTGCTATTTTCCCAGTTGTGCCTGAAACAAACAGGAACATTTTGGTAAATTAGATCAGCAGGG